ACAATACATTTCTGTGCAAATTCAGTTCCGTAAAGCCCTACTAGGACTGCAGTCCATGTCCCTCGAAGTATTGGGTGCTTTAGTAGCATTTAAAAAAGAAGGAAGCCAGATTCCCCAGACAGAACTTCAGCAACCTGCATAGGCAGTGTCTCAGCCTCCCGCTGGTAGATCCAGTCACCTTCAGCCCTGATCTGATCTTTTTTGCTGTTCCTTTTTAAAAATATAGAACATTTCAACCATAAAAGTTCAATCACATTGATAAATAGATAACACTGATACCATAGAGAAAGTGCAACTCTGCAGGCCTACATATTTCAGTCCTCACCTCTGTTAGTCTCTGCCTGTCACATGTCACCTTCAACACTCCCAGGCCTCTGGCACTGTTTTATTTTTTTGGTAGTATTTTTCACTAACCAGTTATGTATTTCATCTCTTTGTTTCTATCCCTGTAAGCTATTTAAGTTCCATGAAGGCAGAGATTTACTGTTTTATTTCACTGGTTTTTCCTAGCACAATATTTGATACATAATAGGTACTCAGTAAATATTTGTTAAATTAATACAAAAATGTAATAAAAAGGACATCTGAGTGGCTTAGTGGTTGAGCATCTGCCTTAGCTCAGGTCGTGATCCCCAGGTCTTGGGACCAAGTCCCACATCAGGCTCCCCAGAGGGAGCCTGCTTCTCCCTCTGCCTTGTGTCTCTGCATTAGAGAATAGCAAAAGGGGGCTTGTGTGCTCATTACTCAGCTTAAGAATTAAAGCATCCTGTACACAGAGATGTATAACATAACACCTACAGAGCACTACATTATTGAAGCTTCCATGTACCCTTCCCTGTTCTGTCTCCTTACTTTCCCTTCCCAGAAATAATCACTATTTTGGTTTAAAACTCTCTTTAACTTGTTCACTTTATTTTAGTGACTCTTAACTGTTCCTTCCTGCTTGATGTATAATATGTCTTCCTCTTAAGACAATTAGAAAATACATACAAGCACAAAGGGAAAAAATATCCAATAATCCAACCTGCCCACTGTTGTTTTAGTGCATTCCTATTAGCTCTAGGACTTTAGGACAGGTTCTTAACCACCAGGCCTCGGTTTCTTTAGTTTCTCATCTGTAAAAATAGGGATAATAATAGAATGGACCTCATAAGGTTATGGTAAGGATGAAATGAAAGTCCATGTAATAAACTTAGCAGTAGGGGCACTTAGATGGCTCAGTTGGTGAAGCGTCTGCCTTTAGCTCAGGTCATAATTCCAGGGTCCTGGGATTGAGCCCCGAGTCAGGCGCTCTGCTCGGTGGGGAATCTGCCTCTCCTTTTGCCTGCTGTTCCTCCTCCTTGTGCACTTAGTCTCTCTCTCTCTCTCTCTCTCTCTCTCTCTCTTTCTTGCCCTCTCTCTCTCTTTCTTCCTCCTCTGTGTCAAATAAATAAGTAAAATATTTATTTAAAAAAAAAAAAGCTTAGCAGTAGTGCCCAGCACTTAAACTAAGCACATAGATGAAAGTGATTATGAGCCTTTCAAATGATTTCATCATTCTTTTTAAAATACAGACCTTATATTCTCTGTGATTTGTAAATCATCTTTGGGATTGATTTGGGAAGTATGCAGTCCTGGCTGAGGGGCTTCCTCACTGACTAGTAGGCTTTATTATCTGTATAAAACACACATTTTTGTTTGAGAGTATAATATAGGGCTGCCCTGAACTGACTGATGATTGCTCTCTCCAGGTGAAGAACATCATTTATCACGCAGTGAAAGATGCTGTTGGCACCCTCAAGGCTCACGAATCCAAACTGGCAAGGTCTTAGGCATGGAGAAACTCCAGACTCCCTGTGAAGCAGGTCTTTCACTCACAACACATACAGGGAACGGCGGGCTACTCTGCTGGAGCAGAGGCCCTTCACTTGGAGCCAGTGTGGTCAGTATTACAAATTCTCCAGCCACTCTTTCTACGCTGCCTCAACACTGAAGGTTGACACAGGAAAGTCGCACTGTTCACACACACAGTTTCAGACTCCAAGCCGAGGGTGCCATATCCCCATCCTGTGGTCTTTTGGGACTCTGAATTGCCTGAATATTGCTGGGCTTTCCTGCACATTCTCGTGACTTGAGATCCACGGAAACCGGGAATGTGGGCACACCTTTCTTTTCTTTTTTCTCTTGTGCCTAGTGAAGTGGGAATGTGTTTGGAGGTAGGGGGAATCACATAACTGTGTACAAGTAGGGGCTAACTGCTTAAACATGCCCGGTGGAAGCCTGACAGTGTCTGCACATGACCTCTGACACAGCCTATCCCAGGAGATGGGGTGAAGCCATTCCCCACAATCTCTCCCGTGAACACTGGAGTCTTGCAGGACCCAGGGAGAATCCACTGCTTTTCCCAGGAGGCTCCAGGATTAGGAAATGTGTGTATTTAGTGAAAAATAGGTTTGTAGTGAAATAGTTACTATTTCATGAAAGTAGATATTTTTAGAATTTTTGAAATACCACAGTTGTTTTCCTGGATTATGAGGAAAGGCACATTACATTTAGTCTTCCTTTCGATAAAAATCTTTGAAGAAATATGATTTTTAGAACTCAACTACCCATTATAGCACAAAATCAGCCAAAGCAGAATTTTTAAAAATTGGCTTTTTAGGATTCTTTTAGTTTCTTCCCCTCCCATCTCAGTCCTATCTTGAGGGAACAGCCAACTGAGAAAGAACTTTGTCATGTCTGAGCTGTGCTGTGTTTTAAGAATACACACACTGGTGACACAAGAACCATTTTCACCTATTACCAGCGTTCCCTTGGAACTCCTCAACACTTCCAAATGCAAAGGAAAGTTTGATTTCCTACATGAGGCTTTTTGGTTTTTTGGGTTTTTTGTCCAGAAATATTTTCAGCAAAACTTTCCAACTCTGTGGAGTTTTATTAAGAATTTATTTGAAAATGATGGAATTCATTGGCCCATAGATACATTGGAAAATGTATCTATCTTCTTTCCAGCTGTACTGTAGTGCCCTGCAGGCTTGTTTATATGTTCACAGTTACTTTTTTTTTTTAATAAAAGTCATTTACTGTAGAATACTTTTAATTTCACTTTCTGTATTTTAATTTTGTTGAAGGGCTGATTGGGATTTCCATGTTCTTATTAAAAATCTAACAAATCAGTTTGGAGTGGACTGAATTCTTTATGAGCCAGCCATTCTGTAAAGGCAGGTGGAGTACAGGTAGAGGATGATTTGTTTTCAGATCTTTATTACATTGCTGCTTCCTATTACCCTTTGCTTCCTGAATTTGTGCCTGTTTGAGAGAGGGAAGTGCCAGGTCATTGTGGCTTGTGGGTTTGCAGGGGGAAGGGGGAGGTGGGTGGTGAAGGGGGAAGGTAACTTGAGTTAGAAGGTGGGAGAAAAGATGGGTTTTCCATAGTTTATGCTGTGTGAATGGAATGGGAAAGGTGAGGTCTTGACCTTCCGGAGGCAGTCAGGAGTGAGCGAGATGGGGCATGGCATGAGCAAGGTTTTGGGCAATCAATAATGAGATTCCTCAAAACAGGGGGCCTGGCTGCCCACATATGAAACATGTGGTCCTGTGTCCACCTCTGAGTTGGTGGGAAAAGACCCAAATGGCAATTTTTTTTTTTTTTAAGTCAAGCAGCAATTACAGTGACTTGAGAAGTGAGGATAAACTACATTCCAATTAGAAAAGGCCTTTTGAAGAGGAAATTGTAAAGAATAGCAAGAGAGGTCATCAGAGGCTGCTTCTCCAGACCCTGTTGGAAAACATCTTCCAAAGTGTTTGAGCCTGGAAATACAATTATCAGGGTGGAAATAGACCATTGTGTGGTTCAAGGATAACTAAGCTTGAATAGTACCATAACCGAAATACAGAGCTCTAACCGTGTCCTTTCAGCCTGGGTGGGCACGGGTCGAGGCTGTGATCACCAGAAGACTTACACCTCCACTTAAAGAATGCAGAACCTTTGAAATGGGACAGGAAAGGAAAGCAATGGGGAGAAAGGGGTTGCAGAGGTTGGAGCTTTGTTGCTTTGGTGAAAATCAGGAGGCGGGCTAGCCTACATTCTGGATATAAATGTCTTCAGAATTAGGGCATACACTGCTGCCAGCATTTGCTGATGGGGGTGGAACTGGAGCCCCTGAATCCACCTCCAACATCAGACGTCCCAACTCTTCTGTTAAAAGAGGGTCCACCTGGGGTAGTCACCTGGAGAGCATGGGCTCCTTCCCCCTGCAAGGCTAAGCAATGACAATGTAAAAAAACATCAAAGGAGGCGGGGGTCCTCCTCCAACTGGGGTAATTGGGGATGGCCAAGAAGGGTAAGGTAGACAGGTGGAGCTATACTTTTGACTTCAGGAGTTCTTGGGTGGGCGCCTGTGATGGGGGAGGACAACTAGTCAGCAGTTGGGAGAAGTGGCCTGATTAAAGTAGACCTCATGGGTTGGTTATATCTTAGCAGCATGATTTGGTGGTTTTGTGACCTTGGCAAATTATTGAACTTCCTAAGCTTCCCATTTCCTTGTCTTTAAAATGATAATTATAGCCTCCTATAGGAAGGGCCCTAAAGATTCAGTGAAATGCGGGTGAAGGGCCGGAACTTCCTAAGCACTCAGGAAGCCCTAGCTAGTATTCCTCGGGGAATCTTTAAGCCTTTCAGCCTAGTGTGGGCAAGGCAGGAGGAGGGCCTGGGGCTGGGGGCTGGTAGGTCAGGACGGAGCCTGGAGGCCTGCGAGGACCCCAGCCGGAGCTTGGAACCCAAGCCAGAGGAGCGAGCGGCGCGAGGCGGGCCCGCGCCGAGGGTCAGAGGCGCATGCCCGGTGGCGGCAGGTGCGGGGCGCGCCGGCCTCCCCTTTAAGAGCCGCCGCCGCCCACGGCCCCGCTGCGGCAGAGACCTCCCCTTTAACCGCCGCGGCTCCCCGCTCCGCGGCCCCCGCGGCGGCTGCTGCTGCGGCTGCTGCTGCTCCTGCGGCTCCCGCCGCCGCCGCCGCCGCCGCCGCCGCCGCCGCCGCCGCCACCTGCATCCTCGGCCCGGGCCCCGCGCCCCGCGCCCCGCCGGCCCCGCCATGGTGTCCTGGATCATCTCTCGGCTGGTGGTGTGAGTGCGGCGGCGGGGTGGGGGCGGCGGCGGCGGCGGGGGGGCGGGGGCCTGGACCGAGCCTCCGCGGCTCGTACAGCGGAGTCACCTAAAGGCGCGTCGTCGCCACCTGGGCCCGGAGACCGGGGACCGGCGGGGGATGTTGGCGGGGCCGCCGCACGCCTGGCTTCCCACCCCTTTTATTTTTCTCCTCTTCGTGTGCCCTCGCCCCCCTGCATCCCGGCGCCGGCGTGGCCTGTTGATGAGGGGGTGGCGGTGCCCTCCCCCACCTAGCGGGTCTGGCCCCCTGCAGGGAGCGGCTGGTGGCGGGGAGCGGGGCAGGGCCGGAGCTGGCGGCCTTGGCCTCCGCCCTCTTCCCTGGGTCGGGAGCCGGAGAGGAGGGCACGTGCCCCGGGGCCCAGGGCGGGGGTGGGGGTGGGGGGTGTTACATCTGGGTGCTGGGAAGCAGGGATGCTGAGGACAAAGTGTGGGAGGTACCCGGGAGAGGACATGTGGGCCCAGCCAGGATCTGCGGGAGCCACGGGGGGGGGTGGGCAGTTGGTAGCCTTCATTGCGCTGCCAGCCGCCCCCAGGCCCCAGCAGGGAAGCCCCCACGTCCCACCCCACCCCCCACCTCCACAGGTCAGTTGGGCCGTGTCCTGTCCCTACGAGGCCCGTCCCAGGAGAACAGGCAAACACCTGCACATTGTCCTAGGGCTGGGCCTGGCAGGGCCTTTGCAATGGCCTCAGCCCCCCTCCCCTGTGGGGGACTGGCACCCCAGGATTCCCCCCCCCCCCCCCCGTGCCTTCCTCCCATCCAGTGCCATCATGTGCTTGCTCTGGCTCCTCTGGACCCAGCAAGGTCTCCCTCCGTCAGTCCTCCCCAGCCCAGCCCAGCCCAGAGGGAATCCCTCCTACATCCTGTGGCCTTCTGAGTGGCAGCTTCTCTCTTACCTGGATGAGCTTCCTGGGTCCTCATTCCTCCTCTTCCCACACCTGTGTCCTGTGTATGGCCTCTGAGGAGTTCGCTACCAGCTTGTACTCCAGCCAGGGCCTCTGCTGAGCTGGGTCCCGAGGCTCTTACATGGGGTGATCAACCTTTGTGCCCCCCAGGGCCACAGGGCCACAGAGGTGCCTCTGGCCGCCACATAGATTGCCCCGATAGGCGGCGTCATGTTCTAGATGGACCCGGCCCTGCCCAGCTTAGCTCTGAGATAGGAAGTAGAGGTTCAGGGCAGATGGGTGACAATGAGCACAGCATCTGGAGAAGGAAGACATTGGTGGCAATGACCAGACCCCCCCCCCCGTCCCCCCATGATAGGTTTATGTACAATCAACGATCGTGGCTAGAGACCACATTGGATGCTGTGGGCTCTGGGTCTTCCTTCACCTAAGGGGTAGAGACAACCTGAACAGTGGAGGGGAAGAGGCAGCACCCTAACCAGCTGGGGGCCCACATGCTTGTGTATCACCTAAGGCACCACTGTGACCATGATCACTGACCTGAGGTCATCGATCCAGCTGATGTGGCACTCTGGAGTTCTGTCCTTCTCCCCTTACCTACCCAGGGACTGACTGATGGAGAGCTGGGAGGGAGAGGCCACTGCTCTTGGCCGAGGGGACCAGTAACCCTGCCTGCCTCCCTAGGCTCATCTTTGGCACCTTGTACCCAGCCTACTCTTCCTACAAGGCCGTGAAGACAAAAAACGTGAAGGAATATGTAAGTTTGTGACACTTCATCCCCTACCCTCCTACATGGTGGAGGTAGGGGCAGACGGAGGGTCACAGCACAGACAGTAGTAACTGTAGCTGTGCTTAATTAAGCACTCATCAGACCCTGCCTCCAGGAGGCTCCTCTGTGTCCCTTTCCCCTGGCCCTGCTGTGATCCACAGGCACAGTGGAAGCCCTGAGTGTCCCTCCCACCTCCAGCATGGTTGGCAAGCAGTCTCGGGGGCCCTGGGTGTTCCCCTGAGGCCCCAGCTCACGCCGCCCTCTGTACCTGTAGGTAAAGTGGATGATGTACTGGATCGTCTTTGCCTTCTTCACCACGGCTGAGACGCTCACGGATATTGTGCTTTCCTGGTGAGATCCAGCATCCCTGTCCCACACCTCTGGGCCCAGGGTTTAAACTCTCTACCCCATCTGCCAAACGAAAGATGGAGACCTGGGGTGGAGTACCCCTGCAGTTCCCTGGGGTCCCAAATGTTCCCCTCCCCTCCGCAGGCCCGGCTTGATCAGTAGACTAAGAGACATAGCCCCGCCTTTCTTTCTGGTGGCAGCCGAAGTACTGCCACAGAAATCAGGAAACCTGCTTCTGCCAGCCGTACTGTGTGGCCTGGGGCAGGTTATAGCTTTTTGGGGCTCAGTTTCCCTGTTTGTAAAGTAGGATTCAGTCTTAACAACACCCGATGCTGGTATTTCAGAGCACCACTAGGCTACATTGGGAGCACTCACAGGACAGAGAATGCCTTCAATAACTGTATGTATATTCATAGCGGGAGCTCAAAAAATGTTTATCGAGTGAGCAAATGCCTCTTGGAAGAGAGGACTAACAAAGCACAGAACATTGTAAGACAAAGAGAGTTTTATGGAAGGTAGAAGACAAAGGATGATTGCATTCATAGACTGTAAGGGCCTGTGGCCTTTGAGAAAAATAATTTTAGCACAAGTTGAAGTTCTAATTTCTTCAGGTTAGAAAAGAATATTGGGTTAGAAATCAAGGACAGTGAGCATAGATGCTTCTTGACATGGAGGCAAAACTTTGTGAGGATGTAGGAGGCACAAAGGAGTCTGTGGCCTGAGGAGAAGGAGCCGGGAATGGACAACAATCCTTAAGAGCAAGAGGCGTGTCCTGACTGTCGGGATGGGATGGGGTCCAGAGCACAGCTGGAGAAGCCTCAGTCTTCCTCATGGGAAGCTGGGCAAGCTGGGTGGGAAAGGCCTGGAAGCTTGGGGTGGGGGGCGGGGTGCCCACCCTAGGACAGAAGAGTGGGGCCCTCTGTCAGGGGGCAGGGGGCCCAGAGTGCTGAGGTTCCTGCCAGGGGCACGTCTCACCCTCTCAGCTGAGCCCCCCTTCCCCCGGGGGTTAGAAACGCCCAGGCGCCTGAACCTTGTGGGGACCGCAGTACAGAAGGGACGAGGGGCTGTAGCCGAGGGCCCGCGGGCACCAGCACACCGCCCAAGTCCCTATCCCAGGCTCCGCCACTCACCTTTGTCCCACCAACAGGTTCCCCTTCTACTTCGAGCTCAAGATTGCCTTCGTGATATGGCTACTGTCCCCTTACACCAAGGGCTCCAGTGTGCTCTACCGCAAGTTCGTGCATCCCACGCTGTCCAACAAGGAGAAGGTGTGCCCCCATTTCCCGCCACAGGCCAGGGCAGCTCTCCCTGGGGCACCTGGAATCCGGAGGCAGGACCTGGGCCTTTGTCCAGGTGGGGGTGGGGGCAGGGTGGGGCCTGGCCAGCCAGGCCTGCCCCTCACCCCCTACTCCTTCTCCACCACCACCACCCCTGGCCCCCAGGAGATCGACGAGTACATCACACAGGCCCGAGACAAGAGCTACGAGACCATGATGAGGGTGGGCAAGAGGGGCCTAAACCTGGCTGCCAATGCTGCGGTCACTGCCGCTGCCAAGGTGAGGTGGGCACACCGGCCTCTGGGCCCCTGCCCTGCTCACCCGGGCCCCTGGCCAAGCCCCACTGCCCCACCCTGTGCACCCCCTCCCGATTCCCACCCCCCCGCACCATCTGTGGTGCTGTGATGCTCCAGGGCTTGTGCAGCTCAGGGTTCCAGGCCCGGCGCCCCTCCAGCTAAGTGACTTCCGTGCCCTGGGCCAGTTTCCTCATGTGTCCCAAGGGGAAGGGACAGCCCCAGCCTGTCACTGCTGCCATGGGACTGAGTGAGGACAGTGCAAGGAAAGCATGGAGCTCCATGGTGACACTGTCTCCACCCGCCCTGCCCCTGGTTCTCCCGGTGCGTGGTGGTGACCCCAGGGCCAAGGGGTGCTGTCAGAGAAGCTCCGAAGCTTCAGTATGCAGGACCTGACCCTGATCCGGGACGAGGATGCGCTGCCCCTGCAGGGGCCCGACAGCCGACTGCGACCCCACCCCGGCAGCCTCCTGGACACCATCGAGGACCTGGGTATAGACGGGGCCCAGTGCCGGGCACAGGGAGGGACAGCCACGAGGGCTAGGGGCCAGGGTAGACAGCCACCAGACCCATGCTCTCCTTTCCTCCCCCAAAGCAGATGACCCTGCCCTGAGTTTGCGGTCGAGCAGCAGCCAGGCTGACCCCCGCACAGAGGCCTCTGAGGATGATATGGGGGACAAGGCCCCTAAGCGGGTCAAACCTGTCAAAAAAGTGCCCAAAACTGAGGTAAGAGCCCAGGCCAGGGCTTGAGGATGTGGGAGGCGATGTGGCCCTGGGCTGGGTCCTCTGACTTCTCCCTCTGTCCCACAGCCCCTGGCTTCCAAGACACTGAAGACTCGGCCCAAGAAGAAGACACCTGGCGGGGGTGACTTGGCCTGAGGTCCTGAGCCGCAGGCCGCAGAGCCCCTGCTCCACACTGTGCCAGGAGCCCACATGTCTCAGGCCCCGGCGCCCCTCAGATGGCTGTTTCTGGTGCCTGCCCAGTGACCGTGCCTCTGGAAAGACTTGGAGTCGAAGAGGGGGTCCACTGTGGGGGTGGAGGGTAGAGGCTGGAGGAGCTGCCGAGGACTGAGCCACCTGCGCAGGTGGGGTCCTCCGAGCCCATGTCGCTCTCCTCCCTGCTTCAGGCCTGCCCCACCCACCCAGTGCCTTGCTGAGGACCATGGCCACCCCCTTACTGCGGCCCTAACATGCCCCACCGCTCTCCCTGGGGTGGGGGTGGGGCAGTCCCAGCCCCAAATGGCCTGTGGTGGGCCTGAAGGCAGCTGGGACAGCAGGATGGGGTGGGGAGGCTTCTGAGAACCCGGCCAAGGGCTCCTGGCCACAGCTGTGAGTGGAGGCCAGGTGGGAGCTTCAGCTGGGGCCGTGGGTAGGACTGTAGGGCTGCGTGCTATCCGTGCCCACTAGACGGAAGCAGGTTCTGGGGCTGTGCGTGTGCGTGTGCATTTCTGGGTCTAGGGCTGGGGGTGTGGAGTAAAGGACTTTCCCTTCTGCACTGACTACCCCTCACCCTAAGCCCCAGCTGGCCCCCCTCATGGCTTTCAGGCCTCCCTCCTCCTGTTGGACCCTCAGGAGCCCAGCCCAGCCCTGCATGGGACTCTGGGAGCCTCTGCCCTCCTCTGCCCTGAGGCCCTGTGGCCTCCTCCCACCCCCACCCGCCCCAGCCCATGGCAGCTGGAGAAGCCTCTGCTGAGCCAGCCCCTTTCCTCCTGACCTGGGGCCCAATTTCCTTTGCCCCAGAGTCCTCCTCCTGTGCCAAGCAAACGGGGCCCTATGTGAGCGGATGCTCAGGAGCCCAGCCTTTACCCCACGCTCTTCCCAGCTTCTGCAGTGGTTCAGTCAGGGCCAGGAGGCATGTGCAAAGGACAAATGTGGGAGCCAAAGGGCTTCAACTCTGGAAAGGGGATGCCCACTGGACCTCTGGCACTGGATGAGCCAATAAACCAGATTCCCGCGGCCTCTCTGCCTGGTTCTTGCCCCTCAGTTGGCAGGGGACCAGGACCTCGGGTGAAGAGCAGGGCCCAGCCTGTAGGAGAGAGAGAGAGACTGGGAGCCCTGGAGTCCTGCTCCCCAAGATAAGTAGGCTTCCGCTGCTTCAGTCTGCAAAAGTGGTTTGGAAGCTCAACATATGGCCAGGGAGGGGGGGCCCCTGGGTGGCTCGATCGGTCAACTGGGTGGGTGATTCTTGAATTGGGCTCAGGTCCTGGGATCAGGACCTGCTCCATGGGGAGCCTGCTTCAGGATTCTCTCTTTCCTTCTGCCCCTGCCCCGCTCGTGTGCACTCAAGTGCGCTCACTCTCTCCTGTAAATAAATCTTGGGGCCCCTGGATGGCTCAGCAGTTGAACGAACACCTGTCTTTGGCTCAGGGTGTGATCCCAGGAGTCCCAGGATCAAGTCCCAAATCGGGCTCCCTGCATGGAGCCTGCTTCTCCCTCAGCCTGTGTCTCTGCCTCTCTCTCATTCTGTCTCTCATGAATAAATAAATAAAATCTTATATAACTAAGTAAATAAATATTAAAAAAAAAAAAACACAGCCAGGAGAGTAGGGGGGCCAGGACTTGAGGGCTAAAAGCCCCAACCCTCAAGGTTGTCTTGTCCCTGAGAATCCTGCCCCGAGGCCTCCTCCCCCAGTGGACCTTCTTCTGGCAAAGTGCCAGTGAAAGCTCTGAGGACAAGGACCCCTATGAGGCTCCCAGGGAAGAAAGGACAGGATTTGGGGGCTTCTGGGCAAGGGCTGGGGGTTGGATGGCCACAATGCCCAGAAAGGCTAGAGACTGTTGGCAGGGAGATGGTGGACTGAGGGAAGAGGTGATGACGGGGAGCAGCCTCGGGGTGCATGTGTAACCTGGCAACAGGAGGACAGGGGACCAAAGGCTGTGGCACCAGGAGGGAAGATGTAAGCCCAGGACAGCTGGGCAGGGTAGGAGGAAAGAAAGAGGGAGGCTGCAGAGGAAGGGGCCTCAGTCCTTGAGGGGGAGCCAAGGCCATGGGCCAAGGGAAGGGGGAGCACAGCCAGGAGTGAGGGGGCAGGCACTGCCCCGTGGAGGGAGGTGAGGAGGCAGCCCCCCAGCGGGCACAGGGCAGTGGGGACCCGGCCCAGGCTCTGGGCCCCAAGGTCCGAGGAATGCCCTGATTGCAGACGTTCCTCTCCCTTCCCGGCATCACAGGGGTAGGTTCTCCCACCACGCTTGTGCCACGGAAGCCTCACATTACAGTGGATGTGAGGAGGGAAACATCCTTATCACCTTCCCCGAGTCCTCTAGACCTCAGAGGAAGGTCATTCCCTTCACCATTGGCCTCTGAGTAAATTGGCCCCTTCCACTCTCCCAAAGGAGAGGATGTGTCGGGGTGGAATTCAGGGGAAAGACTCCCTTGTTCTAGAAAGCTCTCTGGAGAGTAAGATGCCGCAGTCTCATGCTAGCAGCTGCCATATGGCCGGGAAACCAGGGTCGGGCCTCCCTAACCTAAAGCCGGCTTGCTGCAGAGTACACACATGCACATGTGCGCCCACACACCCACACACACCCATGGGCCTGGTGGCCAAGGAGGTCACTGCCAGTCCCCCACACCAGGCTCCCCAGGCACATCTGGGTTTCTCTGTGTCAACAGGAACATGCTCAGTTTTCCAGGCTCCTTGGTCTGTTGCCATGGAAACATTCAGGCAGTCTCCTAGAGCTCGGCTCAGGGCCTGGGACCTGTGGTACAGGAAAGGAGAGGAGGGTGGGAGGTGGCAAAAGATACAGGTAAAGACTCCTGGGAGGGGCTGGTGGGACGCATTTGGATCTAGGTGACATCCTGCTGTCTCATCCTGCTGTCTCATTCCTTGGGACCACCTGTCTTGTGCCCTCTGCCTCAGTAGGACCCCTAGGCCAGGGCATGGGGAAGCAGTGTGAGAACTGAGGCAAGAGCCATGTGGAAGTGGCTTGATTATGGCTGGGGTCCCCAGTGGGCATAGGGGACGTCCGATTGGGGGTGGGAGCTGAGGTCTGGCCCTGCGTCCCATGCTCAGATCATCTTGGGGACACGGCCCTCCAGGCCTCCCCTGGACAGAGTGTCCTCCGGGCTGGAGCTGCCTCAGCTGGCTCCCCCTCCCTTTCTTGCGTGTGTCCCAGACCCTGAGAACCTGCTGAAAATGGGATTTCCAGGCTGTGACGTCAGAGGAAAGCCGGCAGCTCCAGCCTGTGCTAGCCCTTCTCCAATCAGCGGAGCTGAGCCCAGTCCTGCTCCACCTGGAGGAAGGAGGGCTGATGGGGAGCCAGGGGCTGGGGACTCTGGGCCTGGCAGCATCAGTGCATCCATGACAATGGGGAAAAACTGCAACCAGGAGATGCAGGCCAAAGGCACTGCTGGCTTCCCACTGCCTGAAATCTCAGCCAGTTCGTGGTCGTTTCCCTCCCAAATCTCTCCACTTTCCCCTCTCTACGCTGAGTCAGGCCTGCCTGGCGGGGGAGGGCCCCTCAAGTATGGAAGCCTTTGAGTTCTGCCCAAGAACGTGTCCCACACTCAGGCAGGAGGCAGGGGTGAACACGGGGGGGGGGGGGGGGGGGGGGAGGTCCTGCAAGGAAGGAAAGGCCCACCAGGTGGCGCGGCTCACTCTCACTATGGCTTCCCCACCCCTGAGGGGAGCACCACTTCCCACAGCCCACCTGGGGTCTGGTGAGCAGAGTGCCTCACGCCCCGCTTCCTGGGGTTGGAGGCTCCTGAAGAGAACAGCCTTGCAGGTGCATGGAACACCTATGATTTCCTAAGCCCAGCCTGTGTGCCCACCCCCTACACACTCCCCAGGAGACCGTCAGCCCCAAAGGGCAGATCCTCCCTCTACAAGAGGAAGTAGAGGAGTTGCCAAGATGATTTTGGAAGCACCCTGCAGTCCAAGGGACCCAACAGAGGTGTCTGAAATGGCATCCAGAGGGGCTCCTGGAGCTAATGTCAAGGTCATGTGAAGAGAAAGACCTGAGAGGTGGCACGGGATAGGGCACTTGGGAGGGGCAGGCTAGGCCCAGAGAGGGAGAAGCCCACCTGGCTGCAGGACCGTCTGGATACGATCTCCCTGATGGCCATAGTGGTGGTCCCAGGCCTGCCCCAGGTTTTACTATTCCCCCCACCTTCCCCTATTTTCATCTGGGGCACTGCCAGATTCAAAAAGGAGAGGAATTGCTTCTCAGCCTTTTGGCTAAGATCAAGTTTAAAAAAGGAAAGGGAAAAAAAAGACCCTAATTTCCAAAAGCTGGAATCCCAAGGTACTTTTGCAAGAGCCGAGGTTGGGGCTCCTTAGTGACCTACTCTTCCCTGACCTCTTTCCCAAATGGACCCCACTCCTAATGAATTACCATCTCCTTTTGTCCCAGCCAGCTGAGTGATCAATAAATAATGCTGCCTGAAATATTGATGGCAAGTTTTACACAAGCATCCCTTACTGTGCCTGTCATTGGGGAACTAGAGCTGACAGGGAAATGCATGGCCCCAGAGAACCCTCTCCCGTCTCTGCCAACAGATGGTCTGTCTCTGCCAAGATTTCAACCTATTCCCATGTCAGCCAGGAAAGGTCCCCCAGAGACCCAGCCAGCAAGCTCCAACCTGGGGAGACTCAGGTGAGCTAGGCCAAGCAGAGACCCTTCTTGGTACTTTTGTCTCCAGACAAAGCGATCCCATTTCCTCTGTTCCATGTCCATCTGGGGCCCGCCAGCTCCTGCTCTCTGAGTGGCAGCTCGGAAGGAGACCTGCTGGTTCTCTGTCCTCCAGATTGCCTGCTTAGAGCATGAGCAGCAGGGACACACATGTTCCCAGACTTCTCTGGGTTTGCTCTCTCTGGAAGAAGGGAAGGAGAGAAGAGGAGCAGGTGAAAGCTCTCGAGCTCACCCGGTGCCAGTGCCCTTCCCTGGGAGAAGCCAGGCATACTCAGGCCCCGTGCCCAGGCGGGGCACACTTCAAGCCTCAGCTCAGCTGCCACCCCCTGCCCCCTCCTACCTGATCCCTGTGGTGCCTGGCTCTCCCTCCTGCCACCTCCCCCTGCTTGGTCCCTGCTGCTGCCCCAGCAGACCCCAAGCCAGGATGTCGGTGATGTTCTCTGGCTGCACTACAGTGCCCCAGCATCTAGTAGGGGGCTTGGCGCACAATAAACCCTCGGTACAGTTTTGTGGAATGTTCACATGAGGACCCCACAGCATTCGTCCACTCGTGAGAAAGCACCAGCCTCTAAATCTGGGAGTCTCTGTGCTGGGCTGTATGCCTGCACCTGAGGACGGCATCTGCCCCGATGGACTTCCTCCCTGCTCTGCCTCCCCCTGCATGTGCTCCTGCTCACTTGCTCTCCTTTCTCTCTCACACACGCAGATGGGAGTCAGCGTTCCAGCCACATTCAGTTCTCACTTTAATTCAAAAGCTAAATTGGGAAGAAGAGCAGCTTCACACTCCCGATTTAGCCTGGGAGAGAAAAAGGGAGACAGCCTGGATTTGCCAGCAAAAGGAGAAAGCTGGGTGTGGGGTAGGGGAGTGGTGGCAAACGTACCCAGAGCTGAGGGAAGACAATGAAACCCTCACCACCCAGCTCCTAAAAATAAACCATCCATCGCTATGACCCCAGAGTGACCCCTATTAAGCCTCTTTCCCATACAAGTGCAGCCATTCAGGGCATTACCCCAGCCAGGGTAGGATTAGGGGAGGCAGAGGAGATTGTGGTCATTAAAACTATGAAAAGAGGGAGATTCTGCTGCTTTGGTCAGAGGTAGGACAAAATCGCGAAGTCCTTCTTAAATCTAACTTCAATCCCTCTGGTGATGGCTGGTAGATGATGAATGAAAGCAGAGTCCAGGGATACTTGCCCACTAATATTCACAGCAGCGTTATTCATGGTAGTCGAAATGGGAAGCGGTCCAAGTGTCCACCAACAGAAGAAAGGGTAAACAAAGTGGTGCATCCATACAGTGGAATATTACTCAGCCTTAGGGGGGGAGTGG